TCCCTTTCTCTTCCTTGCTTCGGCTAACCACATCATAGCCCCTAATAAATCCTCTTCTTCCTCCCTTTTTCCATTCCCATTACATTTGTTCTCGATGCTATCAATCATTTGTTGGCATTCCTCTACCACTAACCTCCATTGGAAGTCGTATTTATTTTGCCACTTTTTAATCTCTTCACACTCATTCTATGCGATCATCTGCATCCATTTAGCATCTCCTGATAAGATGACTATGTCTGTTTCTATCTTCTTCCCACGGGTCTTGCTGCAGCATGAACCCATGATTAGACTTCTATAGTTTTCCCCAAAACTAAGTAAAAATCACAACGGTTTTAGCAAAACCCAGAAAACTAAACTGTCAAAGTTTTCCCCAAAACTAGGTAAAATGCTCATAGCTGTACCTCGTACTATAAGCTCACAATAGTTGTTAGCAAAACTAAGAAAACTAAACTGTCCTAGTTTTCCCCAAAACTAAGAAAATACCCATAGCCGTACTTAGTCACCCACTATAAAATAGCCGTACCTTGTATCCAGGGCCGCCCCTGGCCAACTTTGTAAGATGAGGCCCCCCCCCCCCCCTCCCAACCGACAGGAGTGAAAAAAAAATGTTTGGAAACAAAGTAGGCTACTTTGTAAATATAATTCCTGTTTATTATTATTATCAACACAATTACTTTTTTATACAGTGAGGTAAATGGTAAATGTGCATGTATATCGTTCAGTATTTGTTTAGAGGTGACTACGTCTGCATTTCCTGCCAAATACTAGCCTCAAACAGATTAAAATATAATGAATGCAAATAAACTACTTCTACTAATAATAATAATAATAATCAAAATATATTCAATAATATAAATATATTATTTTATTATAATATCGTTGTAATATAGTCAAGATAAAACATGCTTATGACATGCTCAAAACTGATATTTCTTAAATCTGTATTCAAATGTAGTTCCCTCTGTCAGCAATGTATCAACAACTACACACACATTTCTATCAGTATTTCTCTGTGTTGTGGTTGACATGATGATGACGACTGTTAGGAGTTAAGGGGAGAGGCTAAGCGTCACCATGAAATGTGCAAATTGACATAAAAATGAATAAAAGGGGAAAAAATGCTCCATGTATTTTAGGCTGTAAACTTTAACTGTTACATAAGCCAACTAGACAGACAGTGTATCACTCTTCCTCCTGTACATTAGCAGATAAAAGGCATAACATACTTGAATGAATGGTAAATAAAGAATGCTGGAAATAACTGCATCTCCATTAGCCTATATGCTCTGCAGAGACTGCCTTCTTCATGTCCTGAATTGCAGCTGATGTTTTAATATGGCAATTGGCAATTTGACTTATACAACATTCGCAAGTTGTACATTTGACTCATACAATAACCCACCTTCGAGTGATGCTCTAGTTTCTTCATGTTTTGTGCGCCGGACAGAAACTGTCTTTTCACCGACATCTCTTCACCTGCACTAGTGGCCGTATCAAAGCCGTGATTGGTCAGATGTGGATTCATTGCAACGGTGTCGGGTTACAGACGTGCTCCCCTTGTCCCCTCTCACTCTCACTCTCGCGGGGGGTGCACGGAGAACTGAGCAGAGAACTGCACACAGCAGCTGAGGCCCTCTGGTCGGGGCCCCCTGCGCAAGGCGGGGCCCCATGCAGCCTGCGTGATTGGCCTGTAGGGAGGGGCGGCCCTGCTTGTATCCTACTATAAAGTCACACAATAGTTTTAGTAAAACTAAGAAAATGTGCCCTATAGTCCACCCACGAACTATAAGATCCTTTAGTTTTTTAAGAAACTAAAAAAACTGGCCTCATAGTTTGAACCACAAACTACTTATACCCAAGGCCTCTAGTTTGAAACCACAAACCATTTAAAAGTACTTTAGATAAGTTTACCTGTGTCTTTCTAGGACTTTTTTGGTATCCTTCCGTGAACCAAGGGGTTGAAACCAAAACGGTGCCTGTATTGACTTTCTCTCCTGTGTCGGTAGTTCAAGGATCCGTCACTCCTCTCCTCTCCAGCGTAACCTGGCCCCCCTATTTACTAAATTGTTTCTTTGTAAAGGAAACAAGGTAGGGGTCTTTTCTAAGAGTCTCTTGACTCCCTGTGCACAGTGTCAGGCTCGTTTGCCCGGAGAAAAAAGGAGATCTTGGATCCGGCTCGAAGGACCAATATGTTAGAAAAAATATCACTCGACACCAGGTTGAGAATCAATGATCAGGTAACTAATTTATTCTTGCAAGAAGGAGCAGAGTTAAATCACATACAAAGGATATGGGTTAACTCATATAGTCCAAAACACAGGAGATAACAACAAAGTCGTAAATCGAGGTGGCGCTAATATCAGCCGCGGGTGTCAGAAAGTCGGGTCATCTGCGATGGGTCATCTGTGACGTCTTCTGGAAAGAGTCACACACTTCCTTCACGCTTCATAGAAATGAGATATTTAGGGGACAGCAAGTCTGTCTTCTCATAAATATCAACAACCTGAAATGCCCTGCCTCCTCCTATCACAAGAAGAGGCAGCTGCAAGGTCATACACAGTTCAGAGCCACACATGATATCAGTGCATTAAAACAACCCAAAGAGTGGACAAAACAGTATTTCTCCAACACAGGCTGAAGCAGACTCTGTGAGGGCCCTTTATAAACAGAACCTAGTCCAAACCATTCAACTGAATGAGCTACTCATTAAAAAAACAAAGTTGGAGGTGGACAAATTTGACAGAGAAAGACAGGTAATTTTGTAACATTCGGTAATTTATTTTCAAGTCAAATGAAAGGTGCATAATAGGGGTGTAACGCAAGGCCGGACTGGGACAATAAGTCAGGCTGGGAATTATACACCCAGCCAGGCCACTACCAGTTTTTTGTGCCATTTTGCTGGATTTATTCGTCAACTTTTACAGCGTTCCTGCCCATAGTGATAGCCCTCTAAATCTACTACCCAAAAATAAACATATGGACATGGGTTACTATTTTTAAAAATGTGCAAATTTATTTAGGAACCTATGTGAACATATTTTAAGTGGGGGTGGACCTCAAATCCTATAGGGGGGTCCGGGGGCATTCTCCTCGGTAAGATTTTTTTTTTAATGTTGGACTTAAATGCATCAATCTGGTGCATTTTGAGGGGGAAATAAAGAGAGAGACTACACCCATATGAAACAGAACTGTATACATTTAAATAATCATAAAATCATAAGTACATGGCCATAACCAATAACATACTATATCCAATATGAAAAAACATTGAAACTTGTTTATTTATTTGTTTTTGGTTCATTTATAGTTGTGAGTGTGTCTGTGCTCCTGAACCAGCCTCTCCTGTCTCCCTCCTCTGCCCCTGCTCCTCTTTGAGGCAGCAGCAAAGACTAGTTTTAGCTCTCAACAAGTTTTAATAGTTTATCTTACCTTTTTTCACCTAGTTAACGTTTTTATTTTTATTATTCATGCATATTTTACTAATCACTCCCCCCTCAAATGGAAATATGTGTTACATAAATGGTGACCAAACCGTTTGAGACCCACTGAGATAACTTAGACTAAGTTAACTATCTAAGCACTCAGAGAATCCTTTACCTCACCTGAGCTGAAGTTATCAGTCTCTCAGTCTGACAGCAGAGGACTCTCCCTCCACCTTGTTGTTGAAAAAGCTCCTTATATACGTTAGCGCAGCTAGCTAGCACCAGATGCTAACAACAACAATACACGTAACCGGTGCGTGCGCTTTATCTCACTCGCTCGCGCCACACATACACTAACACACACCCTCCCGAGCTTGAATGACACACAGAGACCAATCAAGGGCATTAGTATGATCTGTATGAAAGTGGCTATGTCGGCAGGCCACATCATGTAGACAGCCAGTCACCCTCTGTGAGGCAGAGTCAGACCCACATTTGCGCAGCGTTGCGTTCACAATACATACATAAAAAAAAAAAATCCTCAAGCCAGCAGGCCACTTAGCAGGCCAGGCCATCGGGAAACCTCCCGGTCCTCCCGATGGCCAGTCCGGGCCTGGTGTAACGGTATCCGTATTCGTCCCATACCGTCGCGGTTCGGACGTCACGGTTCGGCACATGCAGTCACACGGCGAATGCGCCTTTTTTTACGAGTGGGAAAAAAGTCTGTCACTCAGGGCAGTATTACACTAGATATAATCCAGGGGGCGGTATTGCGCCTAAAAGCCAGCCGCCCGTAAATAACAAATGAAGAACAAGAACAAAACACAACAAAACGAACACAATACATGAAGAAGAAAAGTTAGTGGCTAATATGGCGAGTTCACACAACACACAGGAGCTAGAAGACCCACCTGCTTCTTTTAAATCAGGTGTGTGGGAACATTTCGGATTCCCTGTGGACTACATTGAAACTGGTTTGTGGCCCTTGTAGGATACGGGGTCATCAGGAAAGGCTGGCAGGCATAACCCCTGTCCCCGAGCAGCACTCCACTGAAGAGCCGTGAAGATAAAGGAACATTTCCATGAGTATACTGTTAGAGTTTATTGAAGGATAAAAATGTGTTTTCATAAACTGTGTTTTCATAATGTATTCTCATTTGCTGTGTTACAAAATGTGTTGATGGAGGAACAAAGCATAGTCTGTTTAAAATGACACACATACACACACACACAGATTCACATGACTGAGAGACACAAGATCCACACGAACAAATAAGGCGTTGGTCAAGACCACATGATTGTCTCATGTTACTGTATTGTTGAAATAAAAGGACTGCACTGAGAGGAGGCGAGTGGGAGTCGGTTAGAGAGTTGGTTCTCCTAGCTGAGAGTTGGTTCTCCTAGCTGAGGGCCGATTCTCCTAGCTGGGAGTTGGTTAAGGAGTGGACATGGCATATGTCACTCGCCGATTCTCCTAGCTGGGAGTTGGTTAAGGAGTTGACATGACATGTCCCTCGCTGATTCTCCTTGCAGCAAGTAAACTGGAAACATGAGTCCTGTTATCTTTGTTCACTGGGTTTTGGTATATTTGAACCGAGATGGGGTTTACTCTTACAAAGTAATATAGATACCCCACATTAATTGGTCCTTCGAGCCGGATTCCAATACATCGTGACGGGAAGGAGGAGGGAAAAGACACGCCGCAAGTCTGTCGACAGCCGGGATCATCAGCCGACCCCGAGAAAGACCCGGGACGCAGAATTCGTGGCCGGGCCGGTGCTTATATGTCCAACCTCCCTCATCCTCGGCACGATTGACGGAATCCAACCGGACCAGTGACCACAGATAACGGGTAAGATAAAAGTTGATATACATGGTTTCTCCACCATTTAAGGAGGTAGAGAAGGCTTCTCCGCCATTTAAGGAGGATTGACGTGTCTTTGGGTACACTTATGAGAAAGGTTTCTCCGCCGTTAAGGAGGTTGATAAAACGTTGATTGAGAAAGGTTTCTCCGCCGTTAACGAGGTTGATAAAACGTTGATTGAGAAAGGTTTCTCCGCCGTTAAGGAGGTTGATAAAACGTTGATTGAGAAAGGTTTCTCCGCCGTTAAGGAGGTTGATAAAACGTTGATAGAGAAAGGCTACTCCGCCGTTAAGGAGGTTGATAAAACGTTGATAGAGAAAGGCTACTCCGCCTAGGAGGAGGATCGACGTGCCTTTGGGTACACTTATGAATGATTGAGTGAAAGCAGTGTGTAAAAGTGTCACCAAGTGGAATCAGCGCACAGAGTGGAAACCTAACGGTGATAACAAAAACTCTGTGGTCTGTTGAAGTACACTAGTGGTGAATTAGGAATTAGGTTCTGACCGGCACGTTGTCCAGTAGGAACACCAAGCAGTAAGAGAATTAAGCGACAAATTGAGAGCGATAGTGGAAGAACACAAAGCGCAGGAACAAAGAATAAAAAGAAAGCCCTCCTTTTTTCTTCACAGCTTTCCTCTAATTGCTGAAGCAGCAGTATGACTGCTTGTGCTTCTTCTCAAAATGCCTCAAAAATGGCTGCTGAGCATTGAATTTAAAACAAGGAGTGAATAATCAACGACTGGTCTGAAGTTGGAGTGAATAACATTGAAAATTAATAGATCAATGTGTCGTAGATATTTAAATAAATAAGAAACTATAATTTGTCATTTTTAGCATAGTTTTTGTGGGATGCAGTTACGTCACATTGTGGTTTTCATGAGAAGTTTTGAGAACTGATTGTTACTATTGCATTGCATTGTGAATTTTGTGGTATTTGTCATTAGGTAGTTTTTGTAATATCATTAGTAGACATTAATTGTGTTTATGAAGAAAGTGTAAGTAAACAGGAGGGATCTGTTCATGTTTAAACATGACAGAGGTGCTGCACGAGGCTAAAAGCACACTGTTGGCTAAACACAGAGAGGTGATTGATGAGAGAAGCTTGTGCAGGAGCAGCTGCAGGGCACAGAGAGAGAGAGACAGGAGAAGTAGATGTTTTGAAGAGTTCAGAGAGAGTACAACTTATATAAAGTGAACTACTAGTCTGAAGAATGTTATATTGTTTTGTGAGTAAAACATGAAGTAAAAATATATCTACTAGATATAAGGACAACATGCAGCAACCCAGATCAAAGAAAAAAATACATAAGAAAGCGTCAGCATCAGCTTTCTTCATAGGAGAAGATGGGGAAGAAAATCAGATTTTCTTTGTGGGACCAGGACAGGGGAGAGGCGGGTTTAACAGAGGACGAGGGAATGGTAGAGGAACAGGCAGAGGCAGAGGAGGAGGCAGAAACGCAGAAGGAAAATTCCTCTGCTACAGGTGCGGAAAGGAGGGGCACATGGCGAGGGACTGTGAGGAACAGATACCACAGAACAAAGAAGGGGGACAAAAGGGACAGTACAAAGACGAAAGACATGGCCCCCCCCCCCTTCACATAACCTACATAGTTATGACAACTGACTAGACGTAGAAAAGGAAGAAGAGGACGTCCACACACATCACATTGACCTTTCTGAAGTATTACTGAATCTGTCAGACAACAGTATTAAACCTACCAGGACAATCGAAATAAATGGGGAAAAATTAGAATTCTTATGTGACAGCGGTGCAGACTCATCAGTAGTGAACAAAGAAGTCCAAAGAATGTGGCCACCAACTGGCACTATGTTTGTAAAATCAGCAAATGGACACATAAATCAGAGGTCGATTTCAAAGCCACTTTTTATGGAAGATAGAAGGTCAGGCCTCCAGGCATCCCTTAAATTTGTGTTCATCTCAAACTGCCCTGTCAATTTGCTAGGGAGAGACGGCATGGAAATGTTAAAAATCAGTGTAGTACCAGTCAAAGGGGGAATGCGAGCAGTAGGGCCCGGAGAAAAGGTGGAAGACCAGGTCTTCCTTCAAAAATCCATAAACACCCCCAACTACTACTGGTCACTAGACATGCCACAACCTGACGTGACAAACACAGGTGAACACCTGTTAACACTATTCACCCCACAACATGGCCAAGAAGTAATGAAACCTGACGCATTGCACGTTACACTAAAGTACAAGAACACCCCTGGTCCAGACAAAGACTATGATGTGCTCGTGCATCGACTGACACCACAGAGGGTAGTGTTCCACTCGATGTATGCAAACCAACACGGGGATGTTGTAATTGACGCTAGGGTCCCATCAACCACTGCCTTGATAATGGAACCAGGTTCCACGCCACACATATCAGTAGCTAGGGGCCCAGGGACTTCATGGAGAGACTTAGGTTTATTAGTGGCTAGAGGTAACAGGATAACAAAATGGACAGATGACAAAAACGGTTGGCAAACTGGAGGCGGGTTAAAGCGCAAACTCTAGGGTTTACCCTAGTGATGACACCACGCGCCCACCTAGACGACCCTGAACAACAATGATGTATGCTAAGTGAAGAGGCCTTAGAGGTCCTGAAAACGGTGCCGCCATGCGTATGGTCACAAGGAAAATGTGATGTAGGTCGCATGGTGAACGCAAAACCTGTACATGTTAGACCAAAAACTAACCACAGACCCTGAGGGAACATTCAGAATAAACAACAAGATAGTACTCCCTGTTAGTCTCTACAAAACAGCAGCTCATTTGAGTCATGGGCCGTGCCATGTGTCAACAGGAGGGGATGGTGACAATAATAAATTAACACTTTCATACATACAACTACATTACATTTTCTAAAAACTTTTGTAGAGCCTGTGTAGTATGTTGCAGACACAATGCTCAAGGCAATGAGCGACCACAGAGAGGAAAGTAGAAACATGCATGAGAATCACACCCACGGCAAAAGGGTTGTCTCCCTTTGAGATCATAACAGGAAGGCAATTCAGATTACCAATCACAGACGAGGTGAGGGAGGAGGATGATGCTGAGGCAGAGACTACATTAGCTGAATGGATGAGCAGACTCTTCAGAAGTAATGAGATAGCTCGAACAAATAACCTGCCAGACATTTCTACTCCCTTGCAGGACACTCGAGTGCAGACTGGTGACCAGGTCCTCGTGAAAGTGATTAAGAGGAAGCATTGGCACTGTCCACGGTGGGACGGTCCCTACACGGTACTGCTGACAACACCGACTGCACTAAAAATCGCCGAAAGAACTACGTGGATACATCAGAGCCACTGCAAAAAGATAATACCTCTCCAACTTAACGACGGATAAGTGGTGGAAGTCCGGCTACAAAGGGCGGTGTTTCATTAGGAAATACTGGTCTCAACCCCGGTGAAGAAAACAACAGAACCACTATCACAACTAGACTTTGTTGGGAAAGGTGTTGTGTGTAGTGACCCTGCTGGGTCTGACGCTAATGACTATAAAGACACTGTAACCAGCTAGTAATTATGAAAAACAGGAGGGAATGTTAGAGTTTATTGAAGGATAAAAATGTGTTTTCATAAACTGTGTTTTCATAATGTATTCTCATTTGCTGTGTTACAAAATGTGTTGATGGAGGAACAAAGCATAGTCTGTTTAAAATGACACACATACACACACACACAGATTCACATGACTGAGAGACACAAGATCCACACGAACAAATAAGGCGTTGGTCAAGACCACATGATTGTCTCATGTTACTGTATTGTTGAAATAAAAGGACTGCACTGAGAGGAGGCGAGTGGGAGTCGGTTAGAGAGTTGGTTCTCCTAGCTGAGAGTTGGTTCTCCTAGCTGAGGGCCGATTCTCCTAGCTGGCAGTTGGTTAAGGAGTTGACATGACATGTCACTCGCTGATTCTCCTTGCAGCAAGTAAACTGGAAACATGAGTCCTGTTATCTTTGTTCACTGGGTTTTGGTATATTTGAACCGAGATGGGGTTTACTCTTACAAAGTAATATAGATACCCCACAATACACAAAAGGCAGTTTAAGAAGCACAAAACAATAAGAATGTACAGTTGCCATACCCTGCTCGAGTTTGTGACACAGTGAAGACTCAGAGAAGATCCTCGAGTCATGGACTGACCCAGGCCACTTTGCCTCAAGGCTGGTGATGAGACACCCAGACTTCAATGTGTGTTCTAGTGAATGTGCAAGATTTACCTGAATGTTGAGGCTGTGGAATGATTTGCGATTCACATAGTCGCCTTCATTTTCTCCCAGGGACGCAGAGATCGGTATGTGTGTGCAGTCGATACAGCCAAGCACCCTGGGCAACCCTATGAAATAGTAGGCTGTATTTATTATACAACAGTGTACGTCATAGGAATAACTATGCCGTCATGTGGCACTGTAAGGACACAACTCCGATATGTGGCATTAGCAATATATGGCTCGAGGAGCTGACACAGATAAGTCAGTCCTTCTGAAGAGAACCTGTATATTTCATACAAATACTCTTCGGAGAAAGCCAAAGGGTTTAATCTTTCCCAAAAAATCCTCTCCCGCCTGAGAGCGCCTCTCACAATCTGAGCTCCGAGCTCCACAGTGTCATTCACAAATGGCAACGTCATTTTCACAGAGATTTCATTGGTCGATAGCCGGAGCTTTTATAGACTGATCTCTTAGCCTGCAACCGGGGGACCAGGTAACGTAAGCACATTACGTCCGGGGAGGGGGTCAGATGCCCACTGACCCACAGCCCCCCTCTCCCTCCTCACCAGTTCTGTGTTGCCCCAGCAAGCACAGATGATGAAAAGGAGCCAGACATAAAACGTAATGAAGGGGCCTGGCGTTGACCAAGATGCCGCCGTGCATATGTCCTCCACACTCACGCCGTTAATAAGGCTGTTAACACAGCCATGGCTCGTGTAGAGTATGCACGGAACCCCGTGGGGACGGCTCTCCCCGCCTGTCCGTAGGCATGTGCAATAAGAGATGGGGTCGTTACTAATTTTTTTTAATATATTACATATTACTTTAAAAAAAAAGTAATATTACACTACTTCGTTACTCTCTACATAAAGTAACTTGTTACTTTACTCGTTACTTTACTCATTACTTTACTCGTCGAGCACGTACGAACTGCGCATGCGTGAGTGGCAATAACTCCATTCAAAACAGGCAACAACCGGAAGACAGAGAAGAAGAACAGACTACGTGATATAAACAAACAACAAATAGCGTGTGCGTTAGCTTCACCTTAGCATGTGTTCTTTGCAGGTGTGTGTTGAGGTTTGACGTGGTGTTTCCAGCAGTGGATAACAGCTTCTGGCCTGGACACAGTTTGCACCTCACCGTCACATTCCTGTCTATTCTTCGGACGAACTCAAAGTAATGGGCATACGGTATACCTCCACCCCTCGAAAGTTATCGCTGACTCAGCCATGTGTATGCAGCACTGCACGTTTCTTGGACAGAGCTTTTCCAATTACCCCACCCCCGAAGCACACAAACAGCTGTTCAGTGCGTCTAAAGGCCGCTACACACCAGCCCGATTTTGGGAGTCAGAGGCTGTCAAAGGCAGTCGGGCATTCGCGGCACCCTACTCAGGTTGGTGTGTCCCGCACCGTCGTCTCTTTACGACACATTTTCACACCTCCCGCGGCCAATTCAACATGTTGAATCGGCCGCGGGAGGTCAGAGAAAGTCGGGACGAAGAAATCACTCTGATTGGCTGTTCAGCTTAGCGAGAAGCGAAGCGGAAGTGAGGGACCAAAACAAACGATTAAGAAGGCACACACAGACGGTTAATCTTTTTCATTTTCATCTCACCTGGACGCAAGAGTTTCTTTTTTATGTTTACATGTTTTCGATTGACGAGAGAGAGTGCAAATGGAACCCAGACGCTATTTGTTGTTTGTTTATATCACGCAGCCTGTTCTTCTTCTCTCGGTGTATAGTCTGTCTTCCGGTTGTTGCCTCTTTTGAATGACGAATACACACTACCGCTGCCTGCTGGTAAGGACAGTTATTGCCACTCGTCAACTGAAGTCTTTGCGGTGTGTTCGTAGGCGGGCGGCGTAGCCGATGCAGGCGACGTAGCGGACGTAAAAGTCGGGACGCTTTCGGTACGCGTTCTTGGTGTCAGGTTGGTGTGTAGCGGCCTTAAGGGCAGCCGTGTGCTCCGCATAACATGCCAGCGCACGCACCGGGCAGAGGAGGTGTAATTTAGCCTCCCTCACCCCACTATGGGGTGGAGTTTAAAACCCCCCAACTGAATAGCCCTCGACCTGAACGCACTCCTTAGGCTCTTGGGCACAAAGGAGGGGTTCGGTCTGAGTGTCGCCCCGCTCTGGTCACCCCGGATTATTAAACAACTCGGGTGCCACGATAAAGCGGTTAACTCAAACACTATTTTGGCTGACGTTAAGGCAAGTAGCAATGCTGTCTTCCACGAAAGTGCTTTCACAGAGGAGAGCTCCAGAGGCTCAAATGGTCCTGTGACCAGAGCCTCGAGCACCAGCGGCAGGTCCCACTGCGGGGCGGAGGCGCGCACTACTGGGCGCAGCCTCCTGACCCCCCGCAAAAACCGCGACATTAGCGGTTGAGCAAAAACTATAGGTTACTTACGTAACCCCAGTTCTCAGAGTAACATGAAGTGAGATGTCTCACTATGGGATGCGCCTCATCGCGGAGCAAACAGAAGCATCAATCTCATTACGCCAATCCTAATTTGCTGGAGATCTTGACGTCAGCGTCAGGGAAATCACCCCCTATAAGTAGCTTGCGCCACAACGCATGCACCATTCAAAATAAGCACCTCTTCTCGCTTCACCATAGCAAGGAGGGCCGTCTGGTGAGACATCTCACTTCATGTTACTCTGAGAACTGGGGTTACGTAAGTAACCTATAGTTCTCATTCATAACACTCCGTTCGATGTCTCACTATGGGAAATTGTAGCTCCCGTATTGCCAGACGAGCTTATCTCGAAAATCACCAAACCAACCAGAACTTAACAGGTAGAGCTCTGACTCAACCAGGTGCCCAGCACTGCTTGAGTCACACTGGGAGCAGAACGTCCAGCCTGTTAGGAGGCAGACAAAAGTGAGCGGCGAGGACCAGCTCGCCGCTGCACCAATGTCTTTGATGGGAGACATCCTGGACAGAGTCCAGAATGCAGCCAGACTCTGAGTCGAAAGAGCTCGCGGACCCGAGGGTGCCTGCGAACTCTGACTCGTATGAGCCCCAAAGCAATTGCTTCCACAGACCAGTGGGAGAGCCGTTGCTTAGTAACAGGCTTGCCCTTATAAGGGTTAGCCCAGGACACAAGGGGTTGGTCATTATGACAAAGCACCCTTGATTTGTCCCTGTACGTGCGTGAAGCACGGGCTGGACACGGCAAATCCGGCCGCTGTTCCCCGGAGGAATACAGTGGCGGGGAGGATGCCTTAATGTCAAATGTGGTACCCGAACCGACCGCCTTAAGATAAAGGTAGGGTCAGGCTTCAACCACACTCTGTTTGCCCTGGGGCAAACTGAGTGCATGAAAACTGTACAGATAGTGCATGAGTGCCACTGGCTCGCTTGGCAGCTGCCAGGGTCAGCGTCATGTCACACTGTATTTAGATTGTACCACTCACGGGCCAGGCCCATAGAGCCAAGCGCTCTGGGTGTGGGTGAAAGATCGCCCCCCCCCGCTTGGGATAGTATGTCCCTGCGTAGTGGGAGCTGCCATGGCTGACCGCACAGCAGCTGATATATCTCCGCTAGCCAGTACATAGCTGGCCAGTGCGGAGCTATCAGGATAAGTGTGTGGCGTTGCTCTCTCACTCTGGCCAGAGTTGGGGGTATCAGAGCCAGGGGTGGGAACGCGTACAGAAGCCCCGGGGGCCAATTGTGCGCGAGTGCATCCACGCCTAACGGTGCATTTAGATCGCGCATCGAAAAGAACAGCTGACACTGAGCATTGTCTTTCGATGCGAACAGATCCACCGCGGCTCTGCCGTAACGCACCCACAGCTGACTCACAATCCTTGGATGTAGAGTCCAGTCTGCATAAAGTGGTATACCTCTGGACAGTAGATCTGCCCCGAGGTTCCTCACTCCCGGTACGTGCGTCGCTCTCAGAGAGAGGAGACGCCTACCGCTCCATAGGATAAGTTTGCGCGCCAGTGTGTGTAACTGGAGAGAACGCAAACCCCCTTGGCGGTTAATATACGATATTGTGGTCGTATTGTCTGTCCTCACGAGGACGTGATGTCCCCTGAGGAAAGGCAGAAAGCGTTTTAGGGTGAGAAACACCGCTAAAAGCTCCAGGTAATTTATGTGCGCCCGCTGGAGGTCTCTGCTCCAGAGACCCCTCACCGGGCGACCATCATAAATACCTCCCCAACCTGTCAGACATGCGTCCGTGGTGACCACTTTCCGTGAAAGGACAGCACCCATAGGCACACCTCGTACTAGAAAAGTCGGGTGCAGCCAGTGGCGCAGTGCCATTACGCATTTCACAGTAACCATCACTTTAGTTTAGTTTTAGGGCGGCCACCCAGCGCTGAAACTCCCTCATGTGTAAGCGTCCCAGTCGTACGACCAGGATGGCTGATGCCATGAGCCCCAGCAATCGCAGGCATGATCTGAAGAGAACATGTTTGCGCAGCTGGAAAAGAGCGAGACAAGCTCTGAAAGCTTTCACTCTATCCGCTGACAAGCAAGCTGAAAAGGGCACCGAGTTCAGGTGTAAACCCAGGAAGAGTATAGTCTGCGCGGGGCACAACATGCTCTTCTCTGTG